CAATGCCAAGCTGATGCTGACAATAGCGAGTGTGATTACGATACGGCGCTGATGATTACCGCGAGAGTTTCGACGACGACGACGACGACAGCGACAGCGACGTCGATGGTGATCGATGATGCTTTCCTGAGCTCGCGTGTTCGACGCCGTCGCGGGAGGAGGGAGGGGGGGAGGGAGGGAGGGGGGCTGGGAGGAGGAGGAGGCGGAGGAGGGAGGAGGAGGAGGAGGAGGAATCGGAGTAGGAAGGATGGGGAGGACGAGGAGTACGAGGAGGAGGAGGAGGAGGAGGAGGAGGAGGAGGAGGAGGAGGAGGAGGAGGAGGAGAGAGGGGAGACGGACGTGCTCGCGATGTGTGTATATGTATGTGCATATGTGTGTGTGTGCATGTTTGCACGTGTATGGGCGTTGCATGTGTAGAATGCGTATTTGTGTGTATGTGCATGTGCGTAAGTATGTTTGTATGTGTGTATGTGTACAGTGTTTGATAGTATGTGCATGCATGTGGCCATGTGTGAGAGTACGTACATATCCGTATACGTGTGTATCAAATACCCAATCTGGCCCCACCGAATCCCCTCTGATCATATCCCATCCCTTCCCCTGCCATCCCCTCCGCTGCAATTCCACTCGTGCCGTCCACTCCCATCTCTTCTGGGGCGTCCCCTGCCATGCGATCCAACGCCAGCCCCCCCCCCATTAGAGGTTCGTGCAGTGCCGCCAGCTCCGCATCATGCTGTCACACTTCCAGCGGGACCAATCGCGGAGCTCCTCGAAGGTCGACTCCGTCGGTGACGAGGCCGAGGACTGAGTTTTTTCACACCCTGGTAGGATCGGCAAGATGAGCAGCAGCAGCAGCAGCAGCAGCGCAGCAGCAGCAGCAGCAGCAGCAGCAGCAGCAACAGCAGAAAGCAGCAACGACCAGAGGACCAGATCAGCATGAAGATCCGAGGACGGATAGCAGGAGCAGGAGAAGCAGCAGGAAGAGCAGCAAGAGCAACGCAGCAATATGACCAGAGCAGCAGGAGCAACGTAGCGAGAGCAGCAGCAGGAACAACGTAGCAGGAGCAGGAGCAGCAGCCTGAGGATGAGCAGGATGCTTTGATATCGATGTTCCTCTCACTCGGGGGTGACGGCGCGAGACACGACGGCCCGCAGACCCCGCGGGGCGAGTTCGACATCGAAGACGTTGACGAACAGGAGCTGCAGAACTACTTCAAGCTGATCTCCGAGGAATGCGATCTGCCTTTCTTTTTTCAAAGGGGGCAATTTCATCCCCCCCTCTCTGTTTCTGAAGTTTTAAGGCTCCAGGACTTGAGGCGTCCGTCAGGATCTAGCGTCCAACCCTCTTCGGGATCGATTGCCCAACCCTCTTCGCCCCCCTCATTGAGGGAATGGCCTGCAAGGATGAAGGGAGGGGGAGAGGGGACGGGGTGCGAGAAGGAAGGAAGCGAGGCGAGGGAAGGGACTTAAGAGGGAGGGGGAGGGGGAGGGGGAGGATGCGGAGGAGGAGGAGGAGAAGGAGCAGCAGGAGGAGGAGGAGCAGGAGAAGGAGGAGGAGGATGAGGAGGATGGAGACGAGGATGGTGATGATGATGATGTTGATGATGATGATGACGATGATGATGATGATGATGATGATGATGATGATGATGATGATGATGATGATGATGCTGATCATGATGATGATGGTGATGATGATGGTGATGATGTTGCTGTTGTTGGTGATGCTGATGATGATGATGATGATGATGATGATGATTACGATGATGATGGTGATGATGATGACGGTGATGATGATGACGATGACGATGACCATGATGCTGATGATGATGATGCTGACGATGCTGGCGATGCTGATGATGATGATGATGATGATGATGATGATGATGATGATGATGATGATGGTGATGGTGATGGTGGTGGTGGTTGTGGTGGTGATGATGATGATGACGGTGACGATGAGCCACATAAGAACGCTTCTCATCTTGAGGATGCTGAGAATGATCCCGACGTTGGAGTGCTGAACATCAAGCTGGCCAAGGAGGCTGGACAGGAGGACATGGACATGGAGATTAATGATGCGATCGTGGCTACATGTAGCCAAGCCATTGATGACGGTGCCGATGACGACGACGACTACCCCTTCATGCAGAGCCTCCAAGGCGCCAAGCACACCACGGGAAGGAAACACAAGGGCGGCAGGCCCAAGAAAAAGAAGCACAAGCGCAAGGCGCAACCACCAGGCGAGGCACCTGCAATTGAGGGCATCCTGCAACGGTGGCCGCAAGTCGGCCCATCGGCTAAGGCTAAGGCCGCCGCCGCCGCGAAGGCGGTCATGAAGAAGCCAGCGAAGCAGACGGCGAAGAAACCCGCAGGCGCGGTTGCTAAGAAGGCAAAGGAGCACGAGGCAGGAGGTGAGGAGGAGGATCCGCTCGCCGCAGGAGCTGCAGGCAGCGGCGCCCAGGCAGAGGCAGCGGCGGCGGCACCGCCAGATGCAGCGATCGCCGTCCACGATGGCAACCAGGACGAGGAGGACGAGGAAGAAGCGCAGGACGAGGAGGGCGCAGAGGAGGAGGGCGAGGAGGAGGACGCGCCCGAGGAGCACGAGGAAGGGCCCGAGGAGGAGGAAGCGCCCGAGGAGGCTGACGCGGCAGGTGCAGCGCCCCCTGGCTACGGCCCGCTGAGCCACTACCCGTGGCCCCCGTCGGACGAGTACGGCACGCTCGCGCACTACGAGGACACGTCGGGCCAGTCGATGAGTGTGAGAATCGTCCGCAGGAAGAGCGAGTCCAGCAGCACGATCAAGTACAAGAACGAGTTCACGCAGTGGAAGTGGCAGCAGATGCTTCAAGTGCCAGATAGTTCGGTTCAGGAGTGGCAGATCAAGCAGCTAGCACTGGACGACGTGGTGACGACGACAATGGCCTCCGAGACGATCATCAAGCACATCTTCAATCGGATTGTCGCGACCCGCGCCGCTGACAAGCACGCGGCCATGCACATCAAAAAGGAGGCGTACATCGAGCTGGGCATCAGCGAGCAGGTATTCTAGAGGTGGGAGGGCGCAGGGCAGTATAGGACAGCAAGCGCGACGGTCAAGATAATGACGACTACGGATCAGCTCAGGATTACGACAACGATGGTGACTACGATTGTGACGGCCATGGTAAATTGAGATAACTATGGAGATCAACGATGGGGATCGGGAGTATGCTCATCTTGCAGCCTACACGGGGCCTCGTTGAAGCAGGGCACCGTGTTATTCCAGCCACCTCGACAGCTCATTGCTTGCATCACTGAATGCTGGTTTTGGAGATTATGAAATATTCTAAGTGCCCCCCATACATCCTTTAGCCTTAGCTTTGGTGTCGGACGGGAGGTGGCGCGATGCAGGATGACATGATGGACTTCGCAGATCCAGCATTCGTGGGAAGGCTGCAGTGGGGGGGATCTCATTTCCATGCGTCCTCCTCCCTTGCCCGTCCTTGCCCTCCCAGTCCCCGTCCCTCCCTCCCTCCCTAACTCTCCCTCTCTCCCCGTCTCGCTCTTTCTCTGTCCTTTTTCCACCCCTGGAATCCATTCCTGCACTGCCCTCGTCCAGTTCCCAATGTCGGGGCCCCGTGGCAGCAAACATACATATCTTAGAGGCTGCTATAGTTTGTATTTCGTGATCGACGTTATCGGCGTCATCGGGTCCGTCTACATCTTGCACGGGCTGCTGGCCAGCTTGTAGGCCGTCGGCTGGGACGGCAATTACGATGTAGGGATGAGGTTGGGTAGAGGAGCACGAACGAGGAGCTCTGGAGGAGATGAGAGGATACGAGGTTGACACGCGCTGCAAAATGAGTTAAGAACCATTATGTCGGGCAGATGTTTGAGCTTGCTTTAGCTGCGCCGTGGCAATCGAGCCTGGATTGGTTCGCTCCCAACGTCCACGCCCCTCTGCATCGATGTGTGCGTCCCGTCCAGCTTCCTTCCACCTGCCAGTACAAACGAACCGACCACACACACTCACATCCATTCATCATCTCATCGCTCCCCCACTTGGTTATGCAATGTGATGCTCCCACCCCCCCGCGCCAGGTGAACGGATGATATCGACTTTGACTTTCTCCGTGGGCTTGACGGCTCTTTGCAGGGAGGGCGCGCAGTGCGGCCTCGAAAAACAGAGGAATGATCCAATGCGGGGATGCTCCCGCAGGGATGCTCTGTTCTTGCCTCTTCGCTTGCTCCGTCGGTCCGTTTACGAGCCGACGATCGATGATCGACGCGTCGACGATTGATGCGTCAAGATAGGGGCGAATCCATGGCCCAGGCTCCGACGATCCATCGAACCAGGATGAGGCGATGTACACAGCACCGCAGCTAGGTCGAACGATTTGGCAACTCTTCTCAGGCGACCCTCGAGCTCGAATATATGCGCTGCTTTCAGGGCGCCACTAACGAGGGGGAGGGGAAAAGCAGGAGGAGGAGGAGGATGAGGCGGATGGGGTACGGGACCAAATGGGAGTTGGAGGAGGGGGGAGGCGGCGGAGCAGGAGGAGGGGGAGGAGGAGGCGGAGGAGCAGGACGAGGAACACGGTATCCAGACGCCATACGCAGCAGGGACTGCGGAATCATCGGCCCCTCCTCCACCTCCTCCTCGCGCTCCTTCTCTCTCTCTCTCTCTCTCTCTCTCTTTCTCTCCTCTCGCTCCCTGCGCACAATTGCAAATGCCTCTGGGGAGGGATGAACGGCGGAGGGGTAACATTATTCACCGCTGTTTGACGATCGATAGCGGCCGTTCGTCTCAGAAATCGCATCCGCATCCGAATGAACGGGTGTCTCCTGTGCGTGCGGCCTGGTGTCGCGCGCATTCACGCGCGCGCTTCGATCGGGAAAACACGCGCGCCGCGGGGCCTCCTATGGGACCCCTCCTCTCTTTCGTCCCTCCTCTGGGCTCCTGCCTCCTGCCTCAGGGCTCTCCCCTGCTCCTGCCTCGGGGCCCTCCTTTGCCATCCAGCCTGCTCGAGAAGCACCCGCGGCACGCGTCTTTCCAGAAGCTGGCAACTCGAGTTGCAGGCGAACGGGGAGATACGCTCGACGCATGCACAAGGGGACAGATCAATGCGGGGATGAGGAGGGCTCGAGCTCGAAGAGGAGTGGAAGGTGTAAAGGGAGGAGGAGGAGGATGCAAGGTGATGGGAGGCATACATACGTTTGCGAGAACGGGAAGGGCTCGAGTAGTCCTAAGACACTGCTCTCCACCAGATGGCTTGACTACACGCATGTCGGGGTCAGGGGGTGATGCGTGATGTTGTGGCGTTGGTGCGTGAGCGCGCGTGTGAGCAGGCGAGCGTGCGTCAGTAGGGGTCAATATATTCGCGCGCGCATGTTTACAACTCTAAATATATACACCTGCATATATGCACCTGTAGATGTGCGCCTGCTTCGTTTACATGCTCACGTTCACGTACGTGTGTACAAATACGTACGCATTCATAAGTGCATACATAGGTGTGTGCACACTAGCGTACAGTTGGTATGCGTGCATGACCGCGTGAGTAGTTGCAAATACGTATGCGACTTCGAAGTACGATCTGCATACATGTATGTACATACATGGTGTGCATACATGGGCGTATACATATATGCCGTACTATGTTATACCACATGAGTGTGTACATGTATTGTACGGCTACAATTGCATGTATGTATGCGTCGACGTACATTTCCGTTTATATATATATATATGACGGAGGAGGAGGATGAGGATGAGGGAAGGAAGGAAGGGACGGAGGGGGAGAGGGGGGGAGGGAGGGCGAGAGTGATATCGAGGGAGTGAGTGTGAGAGGGAGGGAGGGAGGAAGGAAGGATGGAGGAGGAGGAGGAGGGGAAGGGGAAGGAGGAGGAGGATGAGGAGGCGGAGGAGGAGGAGGAGGAGGAGCAGGAGGAGGAGGAGGAGGAGGATGAGGAGTGAGGATGATGAAGAGGAGGAGGATGCTAATGATGAGGATGGTGATGATGAGGAGGAGGAGGAGGAGCAAGATGAGGACCATGGTGAGGCTGATGGGGATGATGATGAGGATGGAGATGAGGAGGACGAGGAATATGATGAGGATGAGGAATATGTGATGGAGAGGCACTCGTTTTGTTGACCATCTGAAGGCCCACATGGCCCGCGGCAACTGTTATTTCAAACAAAAACTGGAATATGACAGCAAAATCCGTGCGCGCGCGTATACATATATTAATGTGTGTGTGCATGTGTGTGTTGCGTGTATGCGTGCATGCGTGCATGCATGTGCGCGCGGGAGGAAGCGGGGATGCAGCGGGAACAGAGCGGTGCCGCCCAGGTGCAGCAGGTGCACCTGGGCTCGCAGGACATGGCTGGACATCACCGACGACATATACGCAGCTTTTGTTTACACGCGCGGATTGACTAGACTTGCCGCGCTTAGGGGTGGGGGGCGCCCACCGATTCCCGAGCTGCCCCATGGGGGGGGGGGGCACCCTTCCCCCCCCTTCCCCCTTCGGCCCTAGGGGGGCCGATCTGCCCTCGCCCCATATATACATCGAAACCCCACCGCCCCCCCCCCCCCCCACCCCCCCTCCCACCGCCCACCCCCCTCCCCCCCCTGCCCCCCTGGGTGGAAGGGGGGGTGCGTCAGAAATCCTAAGCACCTGAAAGCCTAGTAAAACCTATCCCCATGGGCCCTGCGAGCTCACGCCCTGGCGCGCGCCCCCCCCCCCTCCCCCTGGCCCCCCGCGAGAGATGCGCCCCCCCCCCCCCCCCCCCCCGCCCCCGCACCCCTCCCCCCCCCCTCTGTGGGCCCTGAGGGATCGCCCCGAACTCCCATCGCAACCCCAGACTTGCCCAGGCCCGCAAGCGCCCCCCCCCCCGCCCCCCCCTTCCCCCCACCCCGATCGGCACCCAGCGCCCCCCTGAAGGCCTTCGAAGCTCACCCGAGCACCCCTCAAAGCCCTCGAAGCTCACCCGAACGCCCCTGTGTGCCCTGGAATAGGCCCCGACCCCCGCACGGGAGACGCGCGATACTCTTCGGGCGGTTGATGATTTTCATTGCGTTTTAATGTTTTTTATATGTTTTTTAATGTTTTTCATGTTTTTTATTGTGTTCTAATGTGTTTCATGTTTTTTATGTATAACGTTTTCTGACGTTTTCTAATGTTTTTTATATGTGTTTTAATGTTTTCTTGGGTTTTAATGTGTTTTCATGTTTTTTATATGGTTTTTAATGTTTTCTTGTTGTTTAATGTGTTTTCACGTTTTTTATATGTGTTTTAATGTTTTCTTGTGTTTTAATGTTTTTAACGTTTTCTATTGCAGCGTGTTTTATTGTGTTTTAATGTTTTTATATGTGTTTTAATGTATTTATTGTGTTTTATTGTGTTTTAATGTTTTTAAATGTGTTTTAATGTTTTCTTGTTTTCTAATGTGTTTTAATGTTTTTTTTGTTTAATGTGTTTTAATGTGTTCTTGTGTTCTAATGTGTTTTAATGTTTTTTATATGTGTTTTAATGTTTTCTTGTTTTCTAATGTGTTTTCATGTGTTTTATATGTTTTTTAATGTTTTCTTGTGTTCTATTGTTTTTTAATGTTTTGTATGATAACGTTTTCTATTGTGTTTCAATGTTTTTATATGTGTTTTAATGTTTTATTGTTTTTTCATGTTTTTTAACGTTGTTAATGGTTTCTAATGTTTTTTAATGTGTTCCCGCTGCCCGTAACGTTTCTTAATGTTTTCTAATGTTTTTTAAAGGGTTTTTAATGTGTTTCTTGTTTTTTAATGTTTTTCTTGGTTCTTAATGTTTTTTAATGTTTTTTTAATGTTTTTTAATGTTTTCTACTGGGCGGGCTCCCGCGCGCCCTGCGGGCGGCGGAGGGGGGGGCGCGCGCGCGCGCTCGGCCCCCGTGGGCACCTCGGTACAGCCACCGCAGGACGCGTGGGACCTCGGGGGACACATGTGGAGGCCCTGCAGGGACGTTGAGCCACGTCGGGAAGATCGAGGGGGATATCGCGCGCGTCGGGCGACCGCGGGGGCGTGTCTGCGCGCGCACTGCGCAGCGCATGCGTGCACGCGCGCGCTGCCCCTCTAAGTGGCCTGTAGTGCCGCGCTGCAGGCGACGGGGAGATAAATCCCAAATGGTCTGAATATTGCGCGACCGCGAAAAAAAAAGTGCGGGTCCAAACATGTGCGTGTGTGTGTGCTCGTGTGAGTGAGCGCGCGCGCGTGGGGATGAGGAATAGTGTGTATAGGATGGGGAAGCGATGCTGAGTTTCTGAATATTGCGGGACCGCGAAGACGGCTGGCCGGGCCAGCGCCTGAGGGGGGGGTCGACCACCGCGGGCCTATATTGGCCTCTCCCCCCGCTCTCAGGAGATCCTGGATCCCGAACGGTTCTTTCGCCTCCGTGATCTCTCCCCAAAAAAAGAGGGAGGGGAGGTGATGGCCCCCAAGGGCAAAGCAAAGATGACCCCCGCCCAGAAGAAGCAACGGGCGAAAGAGCGCCGCGACAACCCTGACATCAGGGCACACGAGAACGAGATGCAGAGGCTGAGGATCGGTTCAATTGTCACCTCTTTAGCAATCGATGGCATTCTCGGTTCTGTGTTCTACCGTCATCTTCAATGAGCACAGGCGAAGATCGAGGTGGACAGTGAGGGTTTGAGGAAGATGAGGACGAGGAGGAGAAGGAGGAGGAGGAGGGGGAGGAAAAGGATGGGGAGGAGGAAAAGGAGGAGGAGGAGGAGGAGGAGGAGGGCGAGGAGAAGGAGGCGGAGGAGGGAGGATGAGGAAGAAGAAAACACGGGAGACCCTGAGGGTATCGGGACCGCAGGACCCAGATGAAGGCCAGCAAGGCCGCTGTGCGCAAAGAGTTCAAGGGCCTCTACGGGCCTGCGAGGAAGGAGTTCGTCAAGGTGTGGCGCGAGACAGGCTCTCGCGGAGAAGGAAGGAAGGGATATGCGAGGGAAAGGACGGGAGAGGGAGGAGGAGGAGGAGGGGGAGGAGGAGGAGCAGGAGGAAGAGGAGGAGAAAAAGGAGGAGGAGGAAAAGGAGGAAGAGGAGGAGGAAACGGAGGAGGAGGAGGAGGATGAGGAGGATGAGGATGAGGAGGAGGAGGAGGAGGAGGAGGAGGAGGAGGAGGAGAGGGAGGGAGGATGATGATGATCGAGGTGGAAGAGGATTAGGAGGATGATGGTGATGATGTCGATGTTGATGTTGATGTTGATGCTGATGCTGATGTTGATGTTGTTGATGATTATGATGCTGATGATGGTGATGACGATGGTGGCGATGATGTTGGCGATGCTAATGGTGATGGCAGAAGGAAGGGGTGGAGGTGAAGAGGCGAGGGGAGGGATGCGAAGGGAAGAGGGGACAGAGGGGAGGGAGGTGAAGATGAGCGCACGGAGGTGAAGAGAAATAAGAGGGGGCGGCGGGGAGGGACGGAGGGGACGGATGGACGCAGGGGAGGGAGGAGGATGAAGGGGAGGGAGGGGAGGGGGGCCCCGTGCAGAGGAGAGCGGACGGAGGGGAGGGAACTTCAACCACGCGCAGTGCAACAAGATCGAGCGCACTGACAAAGAAACGAGAGACCAGTGGACTTCCGTGTGGAGGAACTTCGATCAGCTCTTGACGGATTTCGGTTGGGAGCCCAGCATCGCGGACACCGACTACGGGAAAAGGAATGGATTTCGATAGAAGGGGCCGATGCGGATGAGGAGGAGGAGGAGAAGGAGGAGGCGGAGGAGGATACGTGATGTCCATACATATCGGGTGGCATGATAGCGATGATGATTCTAGGAGGTGGATCACGGAGAGGGAAGCGGCAATGAAGGGAGGTAGATCCAGCATGGTGGGCCATAGACTACACAATGAAGGGCAAGTAGGGGCACCGTCATGTCAGCAGCAGGACCAGGAGGATGAGGAGGAACAGGAAGGATGCGCCTGGGATAAGGGAGGAGGAGGAGGATGGAGGAGGAAGAGGAGGAGGAGGACGAGGAGGAGGAGGACGAGGAGGAGGAGGAGAAGTGGCAACAGCAACTGCAACGTTGGGCGCGATGCATCAAAGTGTCTCCAGGGCGTATGCGCGGGCCGAAGCCGTGCGCGACAACTGCAAGAAAATGAAACGGACTCACGTGAAGGTGGGGGTGGTGGGTTTGGGGAATTCATTGTTTGTTCACTTCGTGATGGATCCTTTCATTTGGCCGAGAGAATTCCCTGGTGCCCCGTGCACGCGGTCCGCAGAAGGGAGCCCCTGGCTGCGGTGCAGAGGTGGAAGGGTTTCGGGAGGTGGCGGGGAGAGCGGGGCGGGCCAGGTGGACCCCCAGACTGGCGATGAGATCTATCGGCGCCTGACCGAGACGAACGCGGACACCCAGGCTCGTGCATGCAGCAGGGTATAGGAGGAGAGCGACGAAGTCGACGACGACGGCGACAACGGCGACTAGGAGGAGCAAAATGACGTAGGAGGCTGATGATCAGTGGCGGCGAGCAGCACTAGTGAACGGCAACTGCAACAATTTAGCAACGGGGAGCAGCAACAGCAATGGATGTCCAGCGCCCCCTAGCCGTCAGGCCAAGCTCAAGAGGATTGAGACGTCCATCAGCAAGGACAAGGCCATCCCTGCTGGTGCCAAGACGCAGGCTCGCAGGGACTCCTCGAGCTATGATCTTGGATTGTTGATGATGATGACGGTGAGGTTGATGGCGACGATGATGACGACTATATTGCTTGTCATGATGATGGTGACGAAGACGATGATGGTGCTGATGATGACGACGACGATCGTGATGATGAGAAAAATGATGATATTGATGATGATGCTGATGCTGATGCTGCTGCTGATGATGATGATGATGACGATGATGATGATGATGATGATGATGATGATGTTGATGTTGATGATGATGATGATGATGATGAGGATGATGATGATGATGATGGTGATGATGATGATGATGATGATGATGATGATGATGATGATGATGCTGATGATATGGCGGTGGTGTGATGTCTGGTGCCAGACGCACAATACGAGCCCGCACGGGCGAGGAGGATCAGGAGCAGGAGGAGGAGGAGGAGGTGGTGGATGAAGAGGAGGAGGAGAGGGAGGAAGGTCGAGGAGGAGGGAGAGGGGAGGAGGAGGAGAAGGGGGAGGAGGAGGAGGAGGAGGAGGAGGAGGAGGGGGATGATGAAGAGGCGGAGGGGGATCAGAGGAGGAGGAGGAGGAGGAGGAACTGTCTGTACACCGTCTCTTCCTGAGTCGCCTGACCTATCGAATCGGAGATGGGACGGGGAGGTGGCCGCTGCCAAAGCCGAGCCCATGTCGGAGACGGACCTCGAGGGCAGCGAGTACAGCTACTCCCCATCGAGCGAGGATCCTGGATTGTTCGATGAAGAGGGAAGACGGACGAGGGTAGCCCGTCCGAGCTCCTAGCCCTTCAGAATGGGTCGGAAATCCGCAACCGAACGACGCACCCGAGGGCGAGCTATACCGAAGAGGGGGCCGACTCAGGACGAGGGGCACACCCTCTCGAACTCGTTCGGTCCCCTCTCCAGCTCTCTCGTCCAAGGACGAGTCGTTCGGGCCCCTCCCTTCCTGGCAGGCGTCTTGCCCCCCCCGAGCCCTTCCGATGAGTTCGGAGGCCTCATGTATGTATGTTATACATACATGCGCATGTGTATATTATATGTGTATGTGTACATGTATACAAACATGTGTGTATGTATGTACGTGTAAGTATGTGTGTATACAGATCTGGCGGGCCGTGGGTTCCTGGGGTCCAACAGGGGGGGGGGGGGGGGCTGAGGTCCTCAGAGGCGGGGGCCACCACAATCTGGCGCGTTCCGTTGACAGGAGGAGGACCCCGCTGGAACTGCGTCAACGCAGGCTGGCACCGCCTCCGCGTCGACGAGCGGGGTCGATCCCGTGCTCTCGAAGGCCCTTGCCGATTCGTTGCACATCTGGACCTTGTTCGATGGGCTCTGCGTCGGGGCTGGGGGGGCATGTCAAGAGGAGCGAGAGGAGGGTTAAGAGAATGGGAGGGGGAAGGAGGGAAAGGGGAGAATGGGGGCTGGGAGGGGAGGGAGGGGGAGCAGGATGAGGGAGAGGAAGCGGTGGCTATCGACCCACGTGTTTGCATCCATTTGCCAAGATAGTGGCGATAGCATCGACAGCAGTTAACATTCGTTGCCCCCGTTTCGTTGCGAGGGCAGTCGCACGTTCGTATCCTGCGGATGGGGGGGTCAAGGAGAACACCTGGTTGAAGCCGTGGGAGGCGAAGATCCAGGAGACTAAAGCGAACCTCGTTACGATCAAAGAGAACATCACGAAGACTATTCAGGGGAAGTCAGCCCCCCGTCGTCGTTTTTGAGTTGGGTTTAGCTCCGAGACAACATGGAATATGTTTGCCACGGGTACACGATTCCAGACACTTGAACACATTGCGAGTGCAGGGGCTGTGTTATAGGCGCTGGAGGAAGAGGAGGACAAGAGAGGGCCTGCCAAACAACTTTCGCGGGCAAGGAGGATGAGGAGTGCGAGGAAGAGGAGGACAAGGGGGGAGGAGATGGATGAGCTAGGGCATGGTGGTGGCAGCGGTGGCGGCAACGAAGACGAGGATTGCAACAGATGGCCGCGCCGTAGGTGTGACAAGAAGGATACCGCGAAGGCCGAGCAGGTGAATCGGGAGATCCAGCAGGCGCGACCTGCGTGATTAGAGCTCTGGTTCAGGGGATTCGCTCGGAGAAGCTAGGGTTCAGATCAGATGAACGCGTGATGAGGCTGTTTCTCAAGATTCTTCGAATGTTCTAGGTAGTTTGTTTTGTCTCCGTTCTGCCATTCTTAATTCGTTCTTGTGCTAGTCCCATTCAAATAGCCCCCCTCCCATATATCCTGACCAGGCTACGCACCTGTGGAACAGCCTCGCCGAGGTGAAAGCCACCATGGAGAATGCCCTGGGGTCCAGCGGCCTCGCGTGAGGTTTCGTTCAGGGCGGCCAGCAGGGCCATTGCTGCTGGAGGGTGGAGGTGAGCGAGAGCGGAAGTCTGGGGGAGAGGGGGAGGGAGGGATCGAGGGAGAGGGGATTGCGCGAAGAGTGCAATGGGGAAAGGACGGGAGGCAGACCAGCGGTGGACTCCGAATTACTGCGTGGGAGAATTCCGAGCTTTGAGTTCAGGCGCGCAGGCCATTTGAAGTTCCAGGATCCTGGTTCTCGGTCCCTTGAGCTGCATGGGGCCCACGTTTCCACACGCAGTGCTGCACGATGATACGATGTATTCCCTGGACCCCCAGAGTTTCGATGCCGCGCGGGCTTGGAGTCGAACCCAGGATCTTGATGCAGATATACATGTGTATATAGGTGTTGTTGGACAATTTTCGGCTCGGCACGCGCGTGCCTAGTATACCCGTTGAGGCAGGGAGCCTCGAGAGTGCACGCCTGAGAAATAGATGTCGCGAGGTACCGCCCGTGCCAGAGTCATGGGCCACAGAGAAGCAGAAGCAGCAGGGGAAGGAGGAGGGAGGATAAGTAGGGAAGAGTATGATCGGCAACTGTCAAGAAACACGCTGCTCAGGGTATCATCCTTTGTCCCACGAACCTCGCGTATTAGATGAGAAGATGGACGGAACAAGAACACGACACTAGCAGCCGCTACTTGATATCGTGTCTCTTACACGCACTTGTCAAACTCCATCGGCCGTAGCCCTCCAGCCGTTCTGGTTCAACATATTGTGACATCAAGTGTGTTAACATGTATCCTTCAGAATGGCGGCGCGGGCCGCAGCAACGTCAATGCTGTTGCGCGGGGATAGCGCGTCGGCTGGAGGGCCGCTGCCGATGGAGGTTGACCAGTGGCTCGATCAAAAGGCTGGCCGCCCCCTCGCGTGTCCCACCAAGGGTTGAGGGGCATAGGAGCGGGAGGAAATGCGGAGAGGGCGCCTGGGAGGAAGGGAAGGGGGAACGCCTTTGGTGGGCACGCGTGGGAGAGGCGCTCTTTGACCGAGCCAACCGAAGGAGGAACCGCCGACCGACGGCGGAGCTGGGTTGCGGAAGTACCTGCTCGAGAGATGGAAGCTAGGGAAGCTCACGTCCAAGGAATGGTTGAACGCCTCTGTGAAACCATACCCAAAAATACCCCCAACAGGATGAGGATATCAAGAAACGAGGGGGATGAGGAGGAGAAGGAGGAGGAGGAGGAGGAGAAGGAGGATGAGGAGGAGGACGAGGAGGAGGGGGAGTAGGGGAGGGATGAGGAGGGAGTTGTTTGAGGGGTCAAGTTTCCTTTCGATGTCGGGGGCGTTCAGCCGCAGGACTTGTGCACAGTCGCATGGCATACAATGAGAGCTGGTGGGACAGGCGTTGGTGATTTAGCGTTGCACCCAGACGACACCCATCACACTGACCATATCCGCCAGGCGCTCCGCCTCAAGGGCCAAGATACGTTCTTTACCGCGCCAATAGTTGTATGGAATAAAGAAACAGAGTCGCGTAAAGAAATACAGTTCCCATTTCATCTCCCTCACGAGGCCTTTGCTGAGAGATATGCAGCTTCGCCTTCAGAGTTCGACTTGGGCCAATTGGCTCCCGAGGACGTGCCACCACTGTATCACGGCCATGTTGTAACGAGAAATAAGGGAGCCAAAAGCTTCCCGATTGGCTTTTACTCTGACGGTGTACCTCAAAGCAAAAAGGACACATTTCTGTGTTATTATTGGAGCAACGCGGTGTCAGAATCCAGGCATTTAATATGTACTCTGAGAAAGTCAGATACTTGCCAGTGCGGCTGCAAAGGCGGCTGCACTATTGGAGGCGTGATGCGTGTAATTACTTGGAGTCTCAATTGCTTGGCCGAGGGGAAGTACCCTGCGCTATCGTACGATGGCAAGCCCTTCACATGTGAATCACGTGCGGCGCGTCGAGGTTTCGAGCTGGCAGACGGCCTCTGCGGGGCCTTGGTTGAGTATCGGGCGGACCTCTTGGAATTTCAGACCGCCCTCGGAGTGAAGAGGTGGGACAACGTGGACTCCCCGTGCTTCTTGTGTAAGTGCACCAAGGCCGAGTTGCACCAATACCCTAGGTCACCAGAAGAACTAGCTCTCACGTGGGTCGAAAAAGACGTGGCCGCATATCAGCACATGGTTAACACATCTATAAAAGAATTTATAGTGACTGACAAGAGCCAGCTATTGCGCCTGGTATCTTGCATGCGGCACAACGAAACTCTCGGCGGCCTGGGATTGGTGGAACCGTTCCCAGAGCTAGGCTTGGCCAAAGGATGGAGGTTGGAACAGTGGGGTTCAGTTACATATACTTATAAGGTGTCAGAAATAGATTGCTCACCTCAAGAACCTGCACACCTGAGATTTTTTGATACAACGAACCACGTCGGTCTTAATTTTATAGCCCCGATATTTAGTGTAACTGGTTTTACATATGCCATGGTCGGGCTAGACTTGATGCACGTTGTGGATCTAGGAATATCCCAGTACTTAGTAGGAGCAGTTTTTTCCACCCTCATCGAGGGCAACTTCGCCAATAGTCGAGAAACCACGGCCCCAGTGCGGCGCAAGGCCAACATGCGCATGCTGAGACAACGCCTAAAGGCGTATTACATAGCCAGCGCAGAGTACTTTGATCGTGGACAAATGAGTCAAATATTTAGGCTCTCTCTTGCACAACTTGGCCCGCCACACAACCCACGGTTGCACGCCAAAGCCGCGGAGACACGGCAATTGATAAGGCTGCTCCCTGATTTATGCCGCGAAAACGCGGGGCACTTCAGAGGTAGCACAGTTATGTTCCTACCGCACTGCTGTCGGCAAATGGCAAAGTTTCACGACATAATCGAGTCTCACCCTCGTGTGCTGCCAGACCTGGCTAAAGCCGACCTCGTGGATACAGCGTTCGCGTTTGCCCACTACTGGCAGAGGACTGGCGCGCACACTGTGTACAAGCATCACGTCTTCTTGCATTTAGCAATGCGCTCAGCATACATGGGCAACCCTCGTCGGTATTGGACATATATCGACGAGGGGGTCAACCGTACGATGGCTTCCATAGGGAAATCCCTGCATCACGGTGATACTTTCTACTTCCGTTTCTTGGAGAAGGCCATTGCTGAGTTGTTGTGATCAAAGAGAGCGCCGCCCCGCCGCCTCTCGCACGGGGGGGCAGGCAGGATTGAGCCAGCGTGCACGGAGCGAGAGCGGAGGGATGAGGAGAAGGATGTTTTTTTTTTCCGGTTTACTTATACTTTCAACGATGGCGGCCTCCAAGGGCCCCTCCTGGAGCCCACCCAAAACAAAAAGCGACGCTGGACAGAAAAATAGCCCTAGGGAAACTGCCCAGACCCTACCTTCGGAGGAAGGATGCTGAGGAAGGCGTTTCCGCTTATCGATTTCTTTTTGTTCAACGACTGCGGCCCCCGCAAACCGCTGAAGCCATGGGACCGAAAAAACACTCAAGACGCAAAACTTGCTATATGGGAAAGCCTCGGGGGAGGCAATTCTGGAGGAAGGATGATGAAGAGGATTTCTCGTTTTCGATTCTTTTTTTTTTCTACGGCTGCACGGCTTCCAGGGGCCAGCGTCGAGTCCCTGGGATCGAGAAAAATCATTCAGGATGAAAAGCTGGACGCGCACGGAACGAGAGGGGAGGGCGGAGGAGAAGGATGAGGATTTTTTCCGGTTTACTTATACTTTCAACGATGACGGCCTCCAGGGGCCGCCTGGAACCCACCCCCCAAAAAAACGACGCTGGACAGAAAAATGACCCTAGGTTAACTGCCCTGCAGATCCTACCTCCAGAGGAAGGATGTTGAGGAAGGTTTTTCCGCTTATCGATTTTTCGTGCGACTGCGGCCCCCAAGAACCGCTGAGGCCCTGGAGCCGAAAAAAAAATCAGGACGCAAAACTTGCCTTCAGACCTTGGAGGTAGGCACCTGGAGGAAGGATGATGAGGATTTCTCGTTTTCGATTTTTCGTTTTATTTCAACGGCTGCACGGCTTCCAGGGGCCAGCAAGTGAGCCCTTGGGACCGAGACAAAACACTCAGGATGAAAAACTGGATTCGGGAGCGTGCACACCGCTGTCCTCCTCCTCCTCCTCCTCCTCCTCCTCCTCCTCCTCCTCCTCCTCCTCTTCCTCTACCACCATCATCATCATCATCATCATCATCATCATCAGCATCAGCATCATCATCATCATCAGCATCAGCATCATCATCATCATCATCATCATCATCATCATCATCATCATCATCATCATCATCACCATAATCATCGTATTCCTCCTCCTCCTCCTTTTCCTCTTCCTCCTCCTTCTCATCGTCATCATCATCATCATGCTCATATTCATCAACATCATATCACGTTCCTCATTTAGCTGAGGTCTCATATTTGATATGCCATTTTTGATATGTCTCAATTTTTGGTTTCGGAATCAATCCGCTGGGTTGGATTGATTTTTTTTTGATGCGTCTTCCGACGTCTCAATTAAATTGAGACCGTAAGATGACAGGGTCCGCCGACGAATCCCAAACCGGCGCCCTCGCTTGAGACATCCTCACAAAACCGGCCCAGAGGAGCCCAGAGCGGCCTCCGGCACCGTTTCCGGATAGATCCGGACAGATCCGGTGGATCCGCCGACGAATCCCAAACCGGCGCCCTCGCTTGAGACATCCTCACAAAACCGGCCCCGGGGGAGGTGCCCAGAGGAGCCCAGAGCGGCCTCCGGCACCGTTTCCGGACAGATCCGCTGGATCCTGGATCCGCTGGATCCGGTGACGAATCCCAAACCGGCGCCCTCGCTTGAGACATCCTCACAAAACCGGCCCCGGGGGAGGGTGCCCAGAGGAGCCCAGAGCGGCCTCCGGCACCGTTTCCGGACAGATCCGGTGGATCCGGTGACGAATCCCAAACCGGCGCCCTCGCTTGAGACATCCTCACAAAACCGGCCCCGGGGGAGGTGCCCAGAGGAGCCCAGAGCGGCCTCCGGCACCGTTTCCGGACAGATCCGCTGGATCCGCTGGATCCGCTGGATCCGGTGACGAATCCCAAACCGGCGCCCTCGCTTGAGACATCCTCACAAAACCGGCCCCGGGGGAGGTGCCCAGAGGAGCCCAGAGCGGCCTCCGGCACCGTTTCCGGACAGATCCGGTGGATCCGCTGGATCCGCTGGATCCGGACAAATCCCAAACCGGCGCCCTCGCTTGAGACATCCTCACAAAACCGGCCCCGGGGGAGGTGCCCAGAGGAGCCCAGAGCGGCCTCCGGCACCGTTTCCGGACAGATCCGCTGGATCCCTCGCTTGAGACATCCTCACAAAACCGGCCCCGGGGGAGGTGCCCAGAGGAGCCCAGAGCGGCCTCCGGCACCGTTTCCGGACAGATCCGGTGGATCCGCCGACGAATCCCAAACCGGCGCCCTCGCTTGAGACATCCTCACAAAACCGGCCCCGGGGGAGGTGCCCAGAGGAGCCCAGAGCGGCCTCCGGCACCGTTTCCGGACAGATCCGGACAGATCCGGTGGATCCGCGCCCCGGGGGAGGTGCCCAGAGGAGGAATGAGGAGGAAGAGGAGGAGGAGGAGGAGGAGGAGGAGGAGGAGGAGGAGGAGGAGGAGGAGGAGGAGGAGAAGATGATGGAGCTGTGGGGTGGAGGAGGACAGACGGAGGCAAGAGAAGGATGGAGGAGGAGGAGGAGGAGGAGGAGGAGGAGGAGGAGGAGCAACCTCATCCTCACCCTCGCCAACAGGCGCACGCACCTACTTCTATATACAGAAACTCCCGATCAACCGCAGAGTTCATCTAAGGCAAGGAAATCTGCCCACCCCTTTGGGTGAGTGTCCATTGAAAAGTGACACAAATTGTCGAAGTGGTCATCGGCGACAGCATTGGGTGAGTGTCCATTGAAAAGTGACACAAATTGTCGAAGTGGTCATCGGCGACAGCATTGACAGGACATTTCTGAGCCCAGAAATGGGAGGTCTCGGGCGAAATTGGTTGAACCACCTCAGGTCTGGGCATACCCGAAAGAACAATCCCGACGATGTCTCAGGCGAAAAAGACTGGGACCGCGTGAGGTGAGGACAGAAGACGTACATAAACCCGGAGTGGCAATGATATCTCAAGCGAAACGAACAGTTCACGGCAACTGCAAACCGAGAGCAGCGAGGAAACGGGAACTGATAGTTACCGTGCGGCCTGAGCATCGACTGATCCAGAATAGCGAGGATGTACCGGGCGAAGATTGCTCTGCGAGGATGTCTCAAGCCAAAAAAGCTGGACCACCTCAGGACAGCGGCGAAGAAGTCGAAGCGAAATGGGCTGGACTATCTCTCGCGCGGCATCTCGAAACCCACAACTGCAGGGATGTCTCGAGACCGGCCGGACCGCCTCACAGGCGGCATCTCAGGGCCCAAATTAACGATGATGGCTTCGCCGGAACCGACCCAAACAACTCCTCGCATGGGGTCTCCTAACTCAAAAACCCACCCGTCTTCTGGGCAGGAGATGGTCAATCGCGGTTCCTTGTCTAACCCCATTGTTCCCCTTCGGGGATGGGGTCGTTGCTGCTCCTGGATAATATTTGCCACCTCGCCCAATCTACCGACCGCTAACCTGAGTCTCTGCCACCTCCCTCGATTCAAACCAACAAATTGGAATACCCCCAGGCGGCTCCCCCATTGGAGCTCGGAAATGCGATGCGACCTGTCGGGACGATGATCATCGGATTACCATGGTTCTGTAGATCCGCCACCGTGCCTCTGGGCACGGAGTGGGCGTGCCCTGAGGTCCTTGCCAAAATCATCACGCCTGAGGAGTCGTTCAAGAGCCCCAGGCCCCGCGTCGCGACGTCTTCTCCTGGGGCTTCTCGCGGTTTCTCGCGCGACCGTTTCGGAGCGATGGGGGCTCCAGAACGGGCCCAACAGGGCCCAAAGAGGCCCACGACGGCCCAGAACGCCCCGAGCCGCCCAAAGATCGCTCCAAGACGCCTTGAATGGCCTCAAGATGGCCCAGGAGGCCTCCAAGATGCCCCAAGAGGCCTCGAAGATGCCTCCCGAGAGGACCCTGAGAGGCAACAACCATTGATTTGTATTCGTTGTTTCAAAAATTTGGGCGTTCTCGCCGCGCTTCCTTCCCGACGCTCTCAGACGGCCCTCGAGGCCCCCAATACCACCCCAGGACTGTCCAAGCGGCCTCCAAGATGGCCCCAATAGTGGCCCGAGAGAGGGAACACGAACCCACAATCCGAGCGTTCCGCCCCAAGAGGCCCCCAGGAGGCCCCAAGAGGCACTCAAGAGGCCCCGAGAGGCTCCAAGAGGCGCCCAGGGGACCCAACAGCGACCCCAAGAGGCTCCAAAGCTGCCCCCAAGAGGCCTCAAAACTGCATCCAATCCAAGAGGCTCCCTAAAGGTCACCCTCGAAATCTCACCGAACACCCAATAGGCTTCACACCCACAACCCAGGCGCAGTGGCGAGATGGGCCGATGGCTAGATAGAGAGGAGCCCGAGGTGCAACAGAGAATCAAGAGTCCAGGGGGCGAGGCTCAAGCCTGGATGTCTCACCTGAACCCTTCCTACCGTGCTCGGAAAGGCAGCCCGACAACAAACGAATTAAACATACGTCGCTCAATTAGGGTCGGCGGCAGAGGCGGCAGCCTTTCGATATAATTCAAGGGAGCAGCACTCAGAGCCCTGGACGCTTGCAGACCAAAGACAGGAAGACGGACAAGTCGTCGACACCTGGCTCAAAGGGGCTCTTGCCGCACAAATAGTGGTGCGTGTCGCAGGGGCTGTCCCAGCGCGCCGCCAGGACGCGGTAGCTGTCCCAGACCTCCAGGCCCTCCCTGGCCGCCAGCTCCTTGGCGCCGATGCTCGCGGCGGCCAGCTTCTCGTTGGTGCGCCCCTCGCGCCCTTGCCACATGCTCTTGTGGAAAGAATATGGGGGCGCCGTGCGCCAGAATACGCGTGCCCCGCGCCGTTTGATCTCACTCCTCTGGGCTCTGGATGCCTCTAGGAAGCGAGCCAAGTCGCCCAGGAACGCCTCCACGGTATCGTCGCGCAGATCCCAGGTCCCTGCAGAAAGGACGACGACGTCGTTCTCAGCCATCTCGTGAACACGCTTCATCACGTAGTGCAAAAAAGCGCCGCTGACGCCACCCTCCTCGAGAGGATATGGGTAAGGCGTGCCGTTGCAATCGCCGCGGGCAGCGCGCTGAACCATGTCATTGAAATCTCGGGGGGCGATGTCGCGCTTGAAGATGCCAGAACCGCGGAAGTAGAAGCTCTGCATCACGTCCTTCGGGCGCGTCCAGTTCCAGCTGCCCAGCTTCGCATGAACCTGATGCATGTGAGAGTCGCCGACGAGCCATATCCGAGGGCAGTCGCGCTTCTCCACGGAGCGCGCCCACCCCAAGCTGCAGAGCCATGGAGACCACGTCCAATTGTGCGGGTCCCCGCCCTCCCACAGTACCCACCGCCCCTCGGCTGGGCTTGGCCCAGACGGCCCGCAAGGCGGGAGCGAGGCAGGAGGGGGAGGCGAGCCAGCCGCCGTGTCAAGAGCTCGGAAGGTCACTCTGGACGACGACAAGTTGAGAGTCTGGCACGCGCAGCCCCCAGCGCAGACGTTCTTTGGCATGCACGCGTGGTCCAAGCGCTCGAATGTGACCACGACTGAGAGGCTGTATCCGCCAGGCTCCATCACCGCACACCTCGCCGGGCTGCTAAAGCCTCTGGGCGTCCTTGACGGCTCCCCCGTGGCGCACAGCGTCAACGAGCGCCCACGGAGACCCACGTCGTACCGCGGGCCCACCTCTGGAAGAGCGGCCGCCTCCGCGTCCAGCTCGGCGAAGACCACAAAGTGGCAAGGCTCCCCAGGGCCACAGGATTCGACGCGGAAGCTCCAGGCGTGCTCGAGCTGCCGGCCCTTGGACAGGTGCCGCCTGGACGGGGCGATGAGGCTTGCCGCGGCGGCGGAGAAGGGCGCGGGAACGAGCAGGCGCGCCTCCTCCGAGAGCCCGCGGTCCTCGAACAGGGGATACGGCGCGCCGCACCACGGCCCCCGAACGGTGCTGGCCGGGGGCCTGCCGTCACGCTCCAAGGCCTGGCTCGGCACCTCCTCTGGCGGGGCTTGCCCGGCCGCGGCTGCGCCGCCCGGCGCAGGCGCTCTCCCGCCAGGTGGCTGTGTTGGCGGTGGCGCGCAATGGCATGGGCAGATGTATCGGACCGGACGCGCGCCCGTGGTCCGCGGTCGCCCGAGCCAGCACTGCTTGCGCCAAAACGGCTTGAGCCAAAATGGCTACGGACCCCCTATTGGCTCCCTCTTGAGGCCTTCTTGGGGCCCTCTCGGGCTGTCTTGGGCGCCTCTGGCGCCGTCTTGGTGCCCAAATGGGCTGTCGCGGGCCCTGTTAGAGGCCTCTTGGGCTATCTTGGAACTGACTTGGAGGCCTTTTGGGCCGTCTTGGGGCGTCGGGACGCCCAAAGGCTGAAACCTCGACAATCAATCAAGCACCGATGGCAAGACAATGTTTTTTGCCTCTTGGGGCCTTCTTGGGAGGCCTCTTGGAACCGCTTCGGCCTCCTAGAGCGCTTCTTGGGGCCTCTTCTTGGAGCCTGTTGGAGCTTCTCGGGGCCTCCTGAGAGCCTCAAGGGGTGGAAGGCACGGATTTTCGGTTTGTGGTACCTCTCTTGGCTCCCTCTTGAGGCCTTCGTGGGGCCCTCTCGGGCCGTCTTGGGCACCTCTGGCGCCGTCTTGGTGCCCCCTTGGGCTGTCTTGTGGCCGTCTTCGAGGCCTCTGGGGCTGTCTTGGAGCGAACATTGGGGCCTCTTGGGCCGTTGTGGAGCGTCGGGAAACTGAAACGGCGAGCACTTTAAAATCCTTCAAAAAAGCAGTCAACATCTTGGAGGTCTCTGGGCGAAGGCCTCTTGGACAGTCAAATGTGAATTATGGGGTGCTCTCGGGCCGTCATTGGTCGTTTTCGCAGTCTGGAAGCGCCATTTCTAGCGATACGGGGCCGTCTTCGGCTCATTTATAAGAGCCCCTCGCGCCACGGCAGGCCCCGGGGGCACCACGTCTGAAGGCCCCGTCCCGGGCCCCGCGGCAGGGGCCGTCTCGGCGCCCTCGTGGGGGCCTGTTGGGGCGATGTTTGGGTGTCCGGGACCGTCTTGGAGCGTCGGCACGCTGAACAGGCAGAACTGCTGAAATCCATCAAGTACCAAAAGAAAATCAATGATTTTGACTTCTTGGGGCCCTTGGAGATATGCTCTTGGAGACCCCTTGGGCCATGTTGGAAGCCTTGTGGGCCATCTGGAGGCCATCTTGGGCGTGTTCGAGCGATCTGTCCGCGTTTCGATCCCTGTTGGAGGCCTCTTGCGACCCTTTTCATTAGTGTTGGGGCTTTCTTGGGCCGTCTGGGGGTGGCCCTGGATCGTCTCTGCGCATTCGTGGAAACCTGTTTGGTCGAATTCTGGGTGTCCCGGACCGTCTTGGGGCATCGGGAAGCGCAACAGGCATAATCGCTAGAATGTGCAGAAAAAACATCAGAAGGTTTTGGTGTCTGGGGGCCCTTGTGGGACTGTTCTTGGGAACCCCTTGGGCCGTGTTTGAAGCCTTGTGGGCCATCTGGAAGCAATCTGGGGCGCGTTAGACCGATATTTCGGTGACTGTATCCCCCTTGGCGGCCTCTTGCGGCTCTTTTCAACTGTGTTGGGGCTGTCTTGGGCCATCTGGGGGCGTCCCTGGGGCGTCCCGGCGTCTTCGTGGGGCCTGTTGGGGCGATTTTTGGGTGGGCCGTCTTGAAGCGTCGGGACGCTGAACAAATTGAATCACTAAAACGTACCAAACATCAAAAAGGAAAATCAATTATGTTGACTTCTTGGGGCCTTTTTTGGGAATGCTCCTGAGAACCCCGTGGGCCATGTTGGGAGCCTTGTGGGCCATCTGGAAACCATCTTGGGCGTGTTCGAGCGATCTGTCCGCGTTTCGAGCCCTCTTGGAAATCCGTGTTGGGGCTTTCTTGGGCCGTCTGGGGGGCGGCCCTGGGCCGTGTCGGCGCACTCGCGGAAACCTGTTTGGTCGAAGTCTGGGTGTCCTGGACCGTCTTGGGGCGTCGGAAAGCCGAACAAACAAAATCGCTAAAATGTATTAAAAACGGGAAAACACATTTTCTTTGGGGGGGTTCTTGGGGCCCTTTTGGGAAGCTCTTGGGGCCCATGGCGCCTCGAGGGCCCCCTCCCGGGCCTCCCCGCCTCCTGCGCAGAGATAAACACACGCCACACACACGCACACACGCACACACGCACACGCACACGCACACGCACACGCACACACACACGCACACGCAAACGCACACACGCACACGCGCACACGCACACGCACACGTACACGCACACGCGCACACGCACGCGCACACACGCACGCGCACACACGCACGCACACGCACGCACACGCACACGCACACGCACACGCACACGCGCACACGCACACGCACACGCGCACACGCACACGCACGCACACACGCACACACACACACACTCACACACACCGCACCCACACACACGCACACACGCACGCACACACGACACAAACACACATACACACGCACACAAACACCCGCACACAAACACGAGCCACACAAACCGCACACGCACACCCGCACACGCGCAACGCGCGCACGCGCGCACACACACACACGCAACACACGCACACACACGCACACACGCACACGCACACACGCCACACACACGCACACTCACACAGCACACACGCACACACGCACACACGCATACACACACACGAACACACACACACGCACACGCACAC